TGGGAGGGAGAGAGGAGAGGGGAGTGGGTCAGGGAAAAGGGAAAAGTTGGGGGAGGGAGGAGCACGAGAGAGAGAGGGAGAGAGAGATGGTGGGGGGGTGAGAGAGAAAAAGGGGGGGGAGGAAAAGGGGGGGGGGGGGGGGGGTGGTAGAGAGGAGAGAGTGGGGGAGGGGGAGTTGGGGAGAGCAGAGAGAGTGGGGAGGGAGAGAGGAGAGAGAGGAGAGTGGGGGAGGGAAGCCGAGAGCGAGAGAGAAGAAGAGGAGAAGAAGAAGAGGAGCGTGAGGCGACGAGAAGAGATAAGAGAGAGAGAGATCGAACGAGGAGAGAGAGAGAGAGAGAGAGAGAGAGAGTGGGGGAGGCGAGAGAGACGAGAGAGAGAGGATGCTGAGAGAGAGGAGGGAAGAGGATAGACATGAGGAAGGAGAGATGAGAGAGCTATGGCGTAAAGAGGAGAGAGAGAGAGAGATTGGGGGAGGGATGGAGGGGAGAGGAAGAGAGAGTAGTGGGGGAGGGAGGTGGGAGAGAGAGATGAGAGAGAGAAGAGGAGAGAGATGGATGGAGAGAGATGAGAAGGAGAGAGAAGAGAAGAGACTGACAGAGGGGGAGAGTAGAACTGGAGAAGATGAGAGGAAGAGATCAAGAGATGAGACGAGCGAGAGAGTAGTGGGGGAGGGGAGAGACGAGAGGAGAGAGAGACGTGGCGGGGGAGAGGAGGGGGGTGAGAGAGAGAGAGAGAGAGAGAGGGGGGGGGAGAGAGACGAGAGAGAGAGAGAGAGTGGCGGGAGGGGAGAGACTAGAGCGCAGAGAGAGTGAGGGATGGGAGACGAAGATGAGAGTGGCGGGAGAGGGATAGAGAGAGAGTGGTGGGAGGGAGATAGAGAGAGAGTGGGTGGAGGGAGCCCCAAGGGACGTGAGACGGAGAGTAGAGAGAGTGGGGGAGGAGAGAGAGAGTAGAGAGAGAGTGGGGGAGGGAGAGAGAGAGAGAGAGAGTGGGGGAGGGAGAGAGAGAGAGTGAGACGGGCGGGGAGAGAGAGAGAGAGAGAGAAAGCGAGATAGAGAGAGAGAGAGGGTGGGAGAGAGGAGAGAGGAGAATGAGAGAGACGGAGAGAGAGAGAGAGAGTGAGGGGGGAGGAACGAGAGAGAGAGAGTGGGGGCGTGAGGGAGAGCGAGAGAGAGCGTGGGGGAGGGAGGGGAGAGAGAGAGAGAGGAACGAGAGAGAGGTGAGGAGAGTGAGAGGTGGGCGCAGAGGAGAGAGAGAGAGAGAGCGAGAGAAGAGAGAGAAGAGAGTTGGGGAGGGAGAGAGAGAAAGTGGGGGGGGGGAGAGAAAGAGAGAGGGGGGAGAGAAAGAGAGGTTAGTGGGGTGAGAGAGGAGAGAGACGTGGGGGAGGGACGAGAGAGAGAGAGAGGAGTGGGGGGGGAGGAGAAGAGAGGTTGAGAGAGAGTGGAGGAGGGAGGAGAAGAGAAGAGAGCGTGGGGGAGTGAGAGAGAGGAGACGAGAGATGGTGGGGGAGGGCCGGAGAGAGAGGAGAGTGGGGGACGGAGGAGATGAGAAGAGAGAGAGAGACGACCACTCCCTCCGAGGAAGGAGATGGAGATACTCGAAGAGGAGGAGACAGAAAGAGAGAGAGACGAGCGATGAGGAGAGAGACTATGGAGGAGAGGGCGAGAGAGAGAGAGCGCGTGGGGGGGGAGGAACCGGAGAGAGAGAGACGGGGGAGGAGAGAGAGAGAGAGAGTGGTGGAGGGAGATAGAAAGAGAGAGAGAGAGTGGGGGATCGGGGGAGAGAGACGAGATGAGAGAGAGAGAGTGGGGGGGAGAGAGAGAAGAGAGAGACGGAGAGTGGGGGATGGAGGAGGGGAGAGCGAGAGAGAGAGAGAGAGAGGGGGGGAGGGGGAGGAGGAGAGAGAGAGAGATGAGAGAGAGAGAGAGAGAAGGAGATGGAGATGAGAGAGGAGGAGGAGAGGAGTATAGGAAGAGAGAGAGACGAGAAAGAGGTAGGAGAGAGAGAGTGGGGCTAGAGGGAGGGAGAAGAGAGAGAGAGAGAGAGAGAGGTGGGGGAGGGAGAGAGAAAGACGAGAGAGAGAGAGATGTGGTGGGAGGAGAGAGAGAGAGAGAGTAGACGAGAGGAGAGAGATGAGAGACAAGTAGATGAGGAGAGAGATGAGAGAAGGAATGTGGCGAGAACGGAGCGAGGACTCGGGGAGGAGGAGAGAGAGAGAGAGAGAGAGAGAGAGAGTGGGAGTGAGGGAGAGAGAGAGAGAGAGTGGGGGAGGGAGAGAGAGAGAGAGAGAGAGTGGGGGAGGGAGAGAGAGAGAGAGAGAGAGTGAGTGGGGGAGGGAAAGAGAGAGAGAGAGTGGGGAGGAGAGAGAGATGAGAGAGAGAGAGAGAGAGTGGGGGAGGGAGAGAGAGAGAGAGAGAGTGCGGAGAGGAGAGAGAGGAGAGAGAGAGGAGAGAGAGAGAGAGAGAGTGGGGGAGGAGAGAGAGAGAGAGAGAGAGAGAGAGTGGGGGAAGGGGGAGAGAGAGAGAGAAAGTGGGGGAGGGAGAGAGAGAGAGGAGAGAAGTGGAGGCGGATGAGAGAGAGAGAGAGAGAGAAGAGAGAGAGAGTGGGGGAGGAGAGAGAGAGAGAGCGAGAGAGAGAGAGTGGGGGAGGGCGAGAGAGAGATGAGAGAGTCGGGGAGGGAGGGAGGGA